CGGTCGCCTGCAGTCAAACAGTGAACTGATTCAGTTTGACGGACAGGCGCTTCACATGATGAGATCGTGGCCGGAACGAATTAAACTCGTAAATCGCGGTTCCACTGTATGGTAAAAGTAGTATGATGTGTTTATTCTTGGTCCGAAATCTCAGGCAACTGAGTCTCTTACCCACTACCAAAAACTACCATTCAGCTTTGCCGAGGATTTTCAAGATTGTTGAAGACCGTTTTGGGAGCCAGTTATAAGGGCCAGGCCTCCCCGACGGTTAACTGTGCCACCATTTGGTGATCACCAGGACACCGATAATGCGCAGGTGAATGGGCTAAATCCTGGCGCAATGGACAGGTAACGCAGCCAGACCATAATCATGATTATTATTATTATTCGTTGATGAACGTTCACCGATCGCTAACGGACCTCACTCGTCCCGCTCTGCATTGGCTCTCATTCTGGGACCCTGATAGCAGCCGCACAGCAGCTAGGCAGATAGGACTAAGACGATGGGAGATTGGAATGGTTATTTGCGATTCGTTAGGCGTCCTCAACCGGTCATACTCAACTCCACGTGGCGCACCACCGAGGCTCGAACTCGCGACCTTTTCGACCAGAGTCTAACGCTCTAACCATTGAGCCACAAGTTCGTTGTCTTACCGGTTTAGGTCAGGGGATATATTGACACTTGATGAACGTTCAGCGATCGTTAACGGAACACACTCGCTGCACCCAGTACTTGTTCTGAGAGCTGACCGGTGCTTGAAGCCTCACGTAGACAGTTGCCTCAGCTTCACCATTCGGCTTTCACGTGACGAGCAGACCAATAAAAAAGGGGGCTGTTGTTTCCTAACATCTTGTCTGGATTGCGGGAGTCACCGCGTTTGCCGTCAGCTCGCTGATGCTCGTGGTGGACATCGTCTAAATCGACGGTTGAACTGTCACTTACCGCGTCACTTGTGAGAGTACTTCTGATCGAAACTGGAAATCACCCAAGCGTTATGTCAAAGATAAAATGGAGAAATGCCTTGAGAGAAAATGGTAGTCTGCCAAAGACTGCGGCGTACCCGTCCTTCATTCTCTCCCGAAACTAACTGTGAATATATCTTTTTGCGGCTTCTTTTTGAGTAAATATCCTATGAATTCTTGAGTAGGAGTGGAAGGTCATCAAAAATGTTTCAAGAAAATGGCGATCCTATTAACTAAGGCACTGCCAGTACAAACTGCACGATAGTGAGAGGGGATGTTTAAGAGTAGATACTAAGCTGCCCATATTCAAAACTCGAATTAAATCTAGCAACTGTATCCTAGCCCAAACTTAGTAAAATGTGACACAGCTTCTGGTGGACAGAAGTGAGAGGGCGCAAACCATGGCAAGCTCTGCTAGGCTCAGGGCCCCAAACATGTACTTACTCGGAATCGTTTGAACCCAGCTTCATACTCCTTGTTGTGATCAAGGGGTATTAGCCCCAGCGTTGGCTTTGCTCAGCGTCACCTCTGACAAATGGTAACCTCAGTGTTAGTTCCAGTACTTCTACACTTGTTGAGATTAAGGGGATATGAGCCCGGTGTTGGCTGTAATCAACGTCACTTCTGATTAATAACACAGCCAGAAATAGTACCATTCCTGGTTAGTAGTATTAGAAATAGTAGTAACAATACCAGCCTTGGATTCCTTGAGTCTTGCTTAACACCTACTGAAGGTAAGTGAGGATAAATAGTGCAGTAGTATCAGCGGAAAAGACTACTGTCTCTTGAGACTAAATAAGCGGTATTTCTGGGTGCATTAGAGAAGGCGGCTTGCGCTCGATTTCTGCTCGATCATCTTGACTTTCGTGTTATCACCGGTGTAAGTGGGGAGAGGGTTTAGAGCGAGGTAGACAGCTGCGCATTTACTTTCATTATACCTGACTACAGTCACCATCCCTGCTCTTAGGCAGATGGTCGACATCATCGATTTCGATAGTCGAACTATCCCATATGTGCTAACTGAAGGCCCAGACACGAGTTCTGCCGATGTTTCTGCTGTTGCATGACACAGTGATAAGTGGTTCGGCTTACCAGTGGGTCCTCTAGCGCTCTCTTTGCAATTTCTGTTACTTGAACCCCAGAGAATAATCAAAGCAATAATTTCAGAAATTACTAAGTGCATGATATGTAACTGAGTGACTGGGACATGACATTTTAGGGTGGTCAGACCTGAAATTTCAGTAAACATTTGACTCAACTACCGTGGAGTAACAACGTAATGTCCATTCTGCAAATAGGGAGCAGTGCATTTAATATAAATGCCATATGGTAAAGACGTTATACTGTACTCCCGACGCGTGTGTGTTCAAGCCTCGATTGCGATTAAGTCCACCAAGTGCACTTACAGGTTGGTAGAGAAGGTGACAGTTTCAGGGGTTAGCTTTAAAGTGATAGCGGACATAGTTGGCGCCAACTGTACTCCTCGCTTTCGCCCGAAGTCAAGAAGACTAGACGGGACCCAGCGTAGGCGGCTTTCTCTAAAGCAACCCGAAACACCGCCTAATTTATTCTTGAGTGGCATTAGACTTTTTTGGGGTACTACTGCACTGCCTACCCTTACTCACCCTTAGTAGGTGTCAAGACAGGCCTATGGAGGCCGAGATTGATACGTTTACTCCTATTTCTACTGCTACTGACTATCAATGTATGCGAGTCTTGGTAGTACTGGTACTATTCCTGACGATAACATTATTCAGAAGTGACGCTGACTTGAAATCAACGCTGGGGTTTATACCTCCTTTGTTCTCAACAAGGAGTGTGAAATCTGTGTTTATGTTATTTTGGGTAAATATATGTTTGCGGTCCTGAGCACAGCAGAGCTTGGTTTGGTTTCCACCCTCTCAACTCTATCCATCAGGCTGTTTCCGTTTCTACTAGGAGTTGGACTATGAGGACTAGGATACTGCTGCTATAAGTACTTGCCTGTGCTTAAGTTCTTATTATTGTTATCATGCTTACTAAGGCCAGTAAATATTATACTATAATATGGCTTATAAGTGTGCTTTTTAAGAATCCAGCACCCGGTATGTCCTCCCAATCTTTATGAGCTAAAGTGATTAGCTTATAGGTTCAATAAAGCGTTGTTAAGTAATAGCACAAGTCCTGCCATGCCTTTATGTGGTAAGGTTTGTCGTCTATAGATTACCAATAGACCTACTACAGTATTAATCTTTAACTTGGAGTATAAAGAACGTCTTCTTATATCTCCTAGATCCTAGCAGGGACTGAAAAATCTAGGTTTATCCTATTCGGAGTAAATACATGTTTTATGCTTAGAGCACATTAGGGCTTTTCTTGGTTTCCGCACTCTGAACTCTGTCCACCAAAAGTTGTGTCACATTTTACTAAGTTTGGGCTAAGATACTGCTGCTATAGCTAATATGGCACTGCTGAGATTGCTTATTCTAGTAATCATACTAATGCCAGCGGATAGTATATTCTAGTAATATTTTCCTATAATTGTATCAGCAACTGACATAAATCCTATTTTTTACAACAAGCATAACAAATGGGAATATGAGCTTACGCGCGTCCTAAACTTCATCCCGGCTGATCTGTAAGATATCCGGTGAGCGTTCACATCCGGTTGGCACGTACTAATGCATGTAGTATAAATTCTATATGGTAAATACGTTATTCCGTACTCCCGACGTAGGCAGTATCAGTGTTTCGTTGCTGCTATTTTAATAGGTATCATGCGGTTATTACTCAACACTTGGTTGTCTTTGACTCAAATATTCGGGCTTGAGTCATGATCCAGTCACCCAACCCCATGTCCTGCCTCTAATTATGCCTGAAATTGTGGGTTTGGCCGCTTTATCTATAATCCATGCCCCTGCTGGTAGAGTCAACAGAGCCAGTGCTACTGCCTCTTCGTTGAGAGTTTATCTCGGCGTCCGTTCCTACACACATGTGATATCAGTCTGATGATTTGAGCCAGTTGTGGCGCTGAACTATCTGCCCCCTCGATCGCTTCTCACTTTCTAAGCCAAAATTCGCGCGTCAGCCATCTCAGTCATCGCTGATGCGTGTGTGTGTCTAGGACATTTGTCTTTCGCATCTAGCCTTGCGCCCACCCCGCTCTCTCAATACTCCCCTTTTCCCTACATTACTGCTGCCACCTATTCTCACGAGCAGCGCTACTAGGCTGCCCGTTTTTAACCTAGTCTTTCGCACGTCATTCGCGTCTCAGCAGCCCCTCTCTCACCCCCTGTGACAGCACAGGGGCGGGCGGCCAGGCGTGCGGGCGAAACTGGAAGCGCAAGTTGCCTGATTTGCGCTCTTCGCGCCTTGACTTGCCTTGCCTTTCTCCACCCACCTGATTTGCCACAGATATAACTAATAGACGCAAGATTATCTGCGTTCTCTCTCTCTCTCGGATGATGGCCGCGCAATTCAGCGAATAACTGGTAACCGTTCGTGAGTGGGATTTTGTTAAGGAGGAGGGCTGTC